AAGGAAACATTTCAGAGGATTAGTATTGTCCTCTACAATAACATCAACACTGTCCATGTTTTGTTAGCTATCCAGAACAGTCATTTTATAAGTCAGCTTTAATTACTGAATTCTTTCTTCTCCAACAATTCTATTTTTAAAATATTTTCAGTGCACCAGAATTTCAGACTGAGGGAAATGTAAAGCAAATATAGGCCATGTAACATGTACATTATTGCAGAATGAGCAATACAAAATCCAATATTTCATCCTTCATGGGAGACTATGTATTGTTCACTCGGCAATAAAGTATATAAATTACACTTTGATTTTCTTCTTTCACTTCTCTTTACCATGCCTGGTGTGCTGATGTGTCAAGAGAATTTTCCTTTTTGAAGTTTTGCTGACAGTGTTACAGAACCATTTTCTCTGGAGCACCCTTCTGAAACTTGTTTTTTGAAACCCTTTTTATACTGTACCAATTTTGCTACCTCTGCAAAAAATGTTACTCGCCTGAGGGTTTTTCTTCTTCTTTCAGTCATGCTGCCAGGGGGCTGATTGTTTCTGATTGCTAAAGTCAAAACTCCCTGAAAATGGACTATTCAACCTGAAGAGCATTTCACATGAGCACGGCAGGTTTTCCAGTCACCTTACTTGTCTATATTATTTAGTAACACAGTTACTGTGGGATGAAGATTATAAAATCATCTGAGCTGCCTGCATTGACAGCCTGGGCAGAAAAATAATTCTATTGCTTCTGGAATGCCAATCACAAAATAAAGCATTTGACCACTTAGTGAAGAGTGCAGCGTAAATGAAACAAATGGGTATATAGATGACACACACAGGTAGGTCTCCAAAGCCAAGGTATCAGTGATGGAATATATCACAAGTCATTTAACCAAGTTTTCTTGCTTTCCCTATACAACTGGAAAAAAAGATTCTATGTTAAACTTGATGGGAACACAATTCAAAATCCTTTGTGTATTTACAACATAAAATTATATCCATTAGACATCAAAATGTCCACTGCATCATTGTATCATTTTCTCTCCTGTGAAGAATTGTTCCTATATTGTATTATCTGTTGTTTCACTGCCTCAGGCAAGAGGGTTTCATCCATTTCTCTGCTACAGCCTGCAATGTGCATTTATGGTATAATACACTGAGGTATTTGAAATTAAGACAGCATTACTGATCTGAGCAACTTCAAGAGCGAGTGTAAAGATGATGAGTAAAGTACGCCATTGACTTCCAATTATACTTTGACTTTCTTTACCATTTATCAGAGCCTCAGCACATGAATGTTCCCACACACACACTTGTTTTTTAAAAAATATGGCAGGTCTGAATTGTTTAACCTTACAAAAACTTGGGGGCTTTCAAACAGAGCAGCTGGCTGCTATCTGCTAGCAACTGATACATTTAATAAATTATTCCCTGTATTTAAAGGCTAATGATGTTCCTGGGCTAGGCACAGTGTGGGCTGCATGATGCGAGGCTGGAAAAGGAAGGAGCAAAGGCAACTTCTTCCCGTACCAGCACTGAGTCAGTGCTGCAGCCAACACCTGGGATTGCCTGAGCAATCTCATTTTGAGATTCCTTGTGCAGACATTCATCCAAGTGTGGGTCAAAATCTGAAAGAACTGTAGAAAACCAGAGCTAGAAGAGACCGCAAAAATCTATGCAGTCAGCCCCTCTTCCCTAACCAAAGGTTACTGGAAGTGCGTCATTACTGACACATACATTTCTATCCTATTCTTATAAACCTTCGAAGAAGGATATGCCACACATTCCCCAGGCAATCTTTTCTAGAGCTTCTCTGTTCCCAGTATTGAGAAGTCTAACCTCATTCAACACTGCTGTGATTAGCCCATTATCGCTTTTCCTATACATCCGTAATATATAGACAATAGCTCATTCCATTCTTCCTTGTGACAGGTTTTTGCATACTCATAGACACTTCACATTTTCATTCATATGTCCCTCCTTGCAGCTAAATAACCCAAATATTTCAGTTCTTCCCTTAAGCCAGGGACCTCTCATCGTTTTTCTGTTTTACTGCTGGGTCCTTTCTTGAAAGGAAATATATTCGAAAAATGTTTACTACACTTGAAAAACTATAATATATGGTTTCTGATAGGAAAGGTTGAAGTGATTACAAGTTCCACGACAGAATGTTTAACTGGCACAACAAAAACTCCAAAGTAAAATACCCTGAAAAAAGTTCATAAACACTAACCTAGCAGCAATGGGTGTCAGCCTCATTCAGCAAGATATCTTAGTCATTTCACAGTTGAAGTAAAATTGATTAATCATGTATTGAACTAGAGGGAAGGAAATAGAAAGAATCACAAAGACAGAAAAAGGCAGACTAGACTGAAAGAGGATTTTTGAGTTGGACAAAAACATTGCAGGGGATGGGAAGAAAAAAACATGAGCTAGCAAGAGAACACCAGGTAAAACAAACAAGTGGAAGATAATAGGGTTGCACAAAAGTACACAGAAGCCTATGGAAAGAGTTATCAAAACATCTGTGACTGCCCAAACTTTTGAAAAGTAAAATAATAAATAAATAAATAAATATATCAGGAAAAAACAGACAGACAGCATAAAGGTGCAGATGAGAAAGAAAAAGAGGAAGTACATAGAAGAAACAAAAGAGGTTTCACAGTCTCCCTTTCGTGAATTTTGCCATAGGAATCAAGAAGGACAAACAATATTTCACGCTCTTCTATTTCAAAACAAAAGGTACTGGAAAGAATAGATACCACCTTCTCAGGCAGCAACTTTGTCTCTGTTGACCCAGCCCAGTTTCCTGTTAGTCTTTGTGCCCAGAGCCTTAAAAGCAGTAACGTCACCTCTTCCAAACATGCATGACTTGTTAGAGAGTGAAAACATCCCTGAGCCCACACAAACAGAGCAGACATTTGACAAATATCTTCAAGCTTTTGGGGGAAATCTATTTAGACAAACATAGGCTAGGGAGTTAGTAGAGTTTAACAGCGCACATTTATGCAATGCTCAGTATGATCACCAGCACAGTTTGCATGTTTTATGTCATAGAAACATCCTGAGCTTGATAAGTGATGTTCATATTGGAAATAGCATGTGCTCCATGTTCAGATTCAGGATTGTGTGAAATAATTCCAGTGTGCACTTATGCATGCTTTACTTCAAGCAGAGAAAAATAAAGATGTGCAAATTAATAAATAGTGATTACCTCAGAGCAGCAGTTTTCCCATTTCTGTGAGTGCATGTCACCTGCCTGGTTTGGTACCCAATTTGTATGTCCCAATATTTGTTCTCCTGTCTATTCTGTCTGTTTCGATTCCTCTTCTTCTTAATTAACTCACGAGCCTCAGGATCCCGAACTGCCTTTTCTCTGTCCTTCTCCTTGTCTTTGTTCTTCCCTCGTTTCCTCGCTTGCCTTATTTGTCTTGAATGGGGCACTGAGCATGCACTCCAGGGTCCCACGTTTAGGCTGTAGAGGCTTTCTTCAGCAGTGCACGGGCTAGACTGACAGATCTGAAACTCGGTGAGGTTAGGACAAGCAGACCCACCGAACTGCGGTGGAGCCACAACGTGCCGAGTTCGATGCTGAAGCCCGTTGCCGCAGGTCTTGGAGCACTCCGACCACGCGGCAAATTCGGCCACGATGCAGTCCTGCCGGCACGGGATGAGGCACGCCTGCTCCTGGCGGGGCTTCGGCTCAAAGTACTCACAGATGACATCCTCAGCTGGCACCCCGTTGGACTTCTGGATACAGGTGATGTCCCTTGTCTGGATCCCTTCTTCCCCTCTGAGGCACTCCAGGGGCTTCTCGTGGCTCCGGGAGAGGACGGGCCGGCACTGGTTCCAGCTGCCGATCTGCCAGTCGTATAGCTCCTTGTGCCAGTCACAGACCCGAAAACAGCTCTGCTGGTTGTCCGGCCGATCCGGCTGCTTGCAGTTCGTGGGCAGTGTGGTCCAGCCCTCCACGTGGGCACACCACACGGCTCGCGTCTGGATGCCACCCGGGCCACATTCATCTCCCATGCATCTCCCCCACGGACCTGGAAAACAAGAGAAGATGCTAACATTGCACGCTTAATTGTTTCTCTGCCATGGTGCAAAACCAAGCTCACAGAACCAGGTTTGCATTTCCTACAATTTCATTCTTGGAGAAACTCGAACTTGGAAAACACAAAACAAGTACGGGATTATTCTTCGTCTCCAATTTTTATGATTACAGGTACATTTCACTTTTTATCCTAGACAAATTGAATATTTAATTTCAAGACCATACACAGGAATTAATCACATTGGAGAACTAAGAACTAAGCAATCACAAAGTCATCACGTAGGTTTGACTAGCAAGATAGGAGCCAAAGTCCTCCCCTCCAAGGCATGAATCTAATCTTCTCTCTCACCTGCATGAGTACCCTTTCCTGGACTGTTCTGGTTTTTGATTCACATTTCTACTGCACTATTCTTTATACCCTGATGCAAATTAATACCACATCCTCTTCCTTCCATATTGTGTTAAATAATGAGAACACCATAATACATTTTGAAAAATAGAGGTGATTTTGGGTAGGCCACTTCTATTCTTTCCTTTATTATAATCAAAATTAAAATATTTGTTCCACATAATCTGTGAAATCGTTATATGGAATAAGTTCTTGAAGACAGAGACATACCAGCTGGTAACTCTCCAAAGAACAGAAGTGATTGTTTTTTTAAAATCTCTAAGGTCTATGGTAAATACTTGACATGTTGTTACAATTAGTGTCAACAAAGCCAATAAAACCCTATATCCCTGAAAGCTGGTATGTTGCTTTTTCCACTACTAAAACCTGTAATTTTCACCTGGTTCAACTCACAAAATCCACAAATCAGAAGGTAAAAACCCTGTATTTTATAGGTTTTTTTAAGACCTCCCCTCATACACACCATGCATTGACTTACTATGAAAGCGGAAAAGAAAAGCAGTTCAGAAAAGAACCTGTAACCACTTCCCAAAGAAAAGATGCCTATCTGCAGACAGTTGGGCACACAGAAGACATTTTTGCTGACTGAGGAGTGCTCATGTTCCATGAAGAAATTGGGGACCAGGCTATGCAATCCTCATTCATCTGAATGACCCCAGTAAGAAGACTATTTGTGTGAGTAAAGGTGTGGGAGATGCCAGGCAGGTTAACAGAGTAATTCTGGTACTGCACAAGGGTAAGTTAAACGAAGGCAGGAACAAATTATTTACAACACTTTCTTATTGAATGATTGGAAGGAGTATGAAGCCACATCTTATTACTGATTCCCAATGAGCTTTAAAACTCTCATTGACTTCAACACAATTTTCAGCTGTTCATCCAAAATTAACTTCAGTGGCAGTTTGGGAATGTGCTGATGATAGGCTATACACTTAGCCTCTGCTCCTCATTGCCTCTTTTTTAAGAGGACACTACAGCTGAACAGTTTGTTTGTAGTTCTAAAATCCTAAGCATTAATACTCGATAGCAATGCTAGCTGGCAGAGACCAATCCAGCCCCTGGAAACTCCTCCATATTTTTTGCAGATTAAGTCTCAATTAGGGTTTCCAAGGTTTAGCTTGCTATCTAGAAAAATAAATGTATATTAAATACAAATACATTTCAGTTTTCATTTCAGCATGATTACCCTACTTTATCTTTAATCAGCCACAAATGACATAATCATTGTTGTATTTAAATCTATTTACACTGAGTTGAGATATCATTTCCCTAGAACACCACTTCGAATACTTGCCAACTTTAAAAGAATAGATTGCAGAAAATCTCCAACTAAAGCAGAGATACTGAAATAATCAAGATTGAAATAAAGCTAAATTGTCCATCTTGCAAATTACAAATTTCTGTCTTATCAGATCACTGCACCTTGTGTATATTATGTGTGTTCAGCAAAGAAATCCCTCTTTTTAAAGATCAGGTCTTTACTGTACTCCAGATGAAGAGTTTGACCATTTGGGATTCTACCAAATTTCCAATCATCAATTATCAAGAAATCACATTGTACCTAAAAATTGTGCTTGACGTCTAAGTATCTTGAATCCAATTCACTGACATGTTTATACTAATGCTAATTAGTATAAATTAATTAATTTATACTAATAAAAATCTCAGCCTTAATGCACTAACTACTGCCTTTGGCAATGTAAATATGAAAAAAAAAATCTACGTGAGTGTGATAATTGCGCAAAAATAAACTCTTTCATTAGATTGCAAGAATGTTGTTTTTAGAACTGGATCCAAAATAACAATGAGGTGCACAGATAGGCTTATGTATTAAACTGCATTATTTTGCTTTTGCTGTGAAGTAGTATGCAATTTTATAAAAGCACTGCCAGTGAGTACCAACAAACCACATTTATGTGAACCTTGGAGCAAACTACTACTCAGCACCTCTAGGTTCATGTAGTTGTTGACACAGAGCTATTAGTGATGTATCTGACCCTCCCCCTTATCTACATTAAGTTGATTTTTAAGTATAAATACAAAATAATCTGTTTAGAGTACAAGGCTGCAAGTACTCCAAAAGCTTAAATTTTCACTCTACTGCACACTTCTTTATATGAATATGACAGGGCCCTAAAGCAAGCCACAGCTTTGGGGCAGGGATCCGTTTAGGCTTTTTCCTTAGTGAGGTCCCTCCAATGAGTAAAGGGCTTCCACACTTGACCAAACCAAATTTCATTTGTGCAGAGACTTAAAACTTGTGGAGGTGGAAGGTGTTAAAGAAAGCAAGCTGAAAGGAAAAGCAAAAAAAACCCAAAACAAACAAACAAACAAACAAAACCCCAAAAAAAAGAGTTATACACAATTCTTCCCCTGCCTGCTGAGCCTCTGTGGTGACTCTGTGCTTCCCTCCCATACAGTGACTTTCTGGGTGGAAGGAAACTCTGTCCTGTGCTCTCCGGCCTCTAGAAATCGCTCTCTCCCTGCAGGCTGGCCACCTACTCCCTGCCATACCCCTCACTCTCTCAAACTTTCTCTCTTTTCTATACTATCTCGCCTATCTTTGTAGATGGCTCCACCAACAACTACTTCAACAAATGTAATGCCAATCAGGAACAAAAAAGTGTAACCGGTATCATTCTTCACAACTAGTGACATTTCTCTTTGGGGTTATGGAAGATATAGGAATAAAAAAAAAAGAAAAAAAACCCTAACACTTCCATACTCAGTGTTGTTTTAGAATAAGAGCTTCAACCTAATTTCTAATGAATTAATTTCACAATACCTGTGAATATCTCAGCAATCTCAACAGCTTACTTTAACCCAGCTGTCTTATTCAGGGAGAAGAAGAATTGCCATTTTGTTACTTTCTTTAGGTTTTAAAAAATTAAAAAATAAAAGTATTTCTACCAATATGAACAGAAACTTGCTTTGACCAAAATTACTCTGAGAAACACCGAAACTTTTTTTTTCCTTTTGAAAACAATGTCTGGCATCCACATTAACCAACATTTCTGTCAGTTTTCAGTTGCACACTGCTTTGAAATCTTCAGTTAAGTTATCCACATTTTCTTGTAGGATCACAAGTCACTGTTGTTAAGCACTTGCTGAGGAGCGTTGTTGCCATACATTCTTTATGTGGACCTGACAAAGAGAGAGAGAGAAGCTCCTCTGTAATTCCCTTTACAGGTAGCCATCTCTCTCTACCAACTATAAAAAGAGCCTGCAATAATTCACTTCTAACTTAAGTGGCCCCCCACACATTGCAAGCCTCATGGCCAGACGTCGTTCTCATTTGAAAATAATCACAGAAAAGCAAGAAAAGAAATGTCTCTGAACAGAGTAAAGAAGCTTTGCAACTTCGTCTGAATAACAAGAAATGCATCCCAAAGTAGTCCTAAACCACTGTCAATTTCTTTTCTCATTGCCACAGGTTGAAGAGAAAGCACCCAGCACATTCTTACAATATTTCTTTGCCTGTAGGTCAAGACATCACTTAAGGCTGGAAAGCTGCCTGGCTGAAAAGGACCTGGGGGTGTTGGTCGACAGCCAGCTGAACATGAGCCAGCAGTGTGCCCAGGTGGCCAAGAAGGCCAACAGCATCCTGGCTTGTATTAGGAATAGTGTGGCCAGCAGGAGCAGGGAGGTGATTGTCCCCCTGTACTCGGCACTGGTGAGGCCGCACCTCGAGTACTGTGTCCAGTTTTGGGCCCCTCAATACAAGAAAGACATTGAGGTGCTGGAGCGTGTCCAGAGAAGGGCAACAAGGCTGGTGAAGGGTCTGGAGCACAGGCCTTCTGAGGAGCGGCTGAGGGAACTGGGGTTGTTTAGCCTGGAGAAGAGGAGGCTGAGGGGGGCGCGTATCGCTCTCTACAACTACCTGAAAGGAGGTTGTAGTGAGGTGGGTGTTGGGCTCTTCTCCCAAGTAGCTAGCGATAGGACAAGAGGAAATGTGCTCAAGCTGCGCCAGGGGAGGTTTAGGCTGGAAATTAGGAAAAATTTCTTCACAGAAAGGGTAGTCAAGCATTGGAACAGGCTGCCCAGAGAGGTGGTGGAGTCACCATCCCTGGAAGTGTTCAAAAAACGGGTAGATGTGGCACTTTGGGACATGGTTTAGTCTAGTCTGCCCTTGACTGGTTTAGTGTGGACTTGGTAGTGTAGGTTAATGGTTGGACTGGATGATCTTAAAGGTCTTTTCCAACCTAAACGATTCTATGATTCTATGATACATGACCAAAAAACAGTGAAGGCAGAGGCTCTGAATGATCCTCAGAAATATGAGAGAACCACATACAGATCACCTGCAACATGCTTTCTATATTATACATCATATCATTATTGTGGGCAGTACATTTACCACAACATTTGTAAATGTGGAACTTGGGGATAAAATTAATCTCACAAAAACTAGGGTGGCATAGATATACAACCCAGCAATGAGAGAGATCAGCAGAATGCAATGTAAAGAGTCTCACCCACCACCATCGCTTAAAGGCTGCAGGAGGTGGGGGGTGGCTGCTCTTTCACAAATCCTCAGCTGATGTTAAGCACTAGTAACAACAACAG